GAGATCATCGGTAAATGAAAGTCCTATGGCTATGATGGCGAATCTGTGGTATCCGTGCCCAAAGTGGCATGTGAAGCCATGTCTCCTGGCGCATGTGGGCTTGCCTGTTTGTCTTCTGGGTTTCTGGCATGGATGCACGTGCAAAGGTCAGCTGTCTTTTGTGTGTGCAACAGTGCCAGTGTACGCATGTGCACCGACCAGCTATTTGTTGGGTGTACATGCATGCCAGAACCCGGAGGTTCGGCTTTTCCGGAATGCGATCCCTTCATGCGTGCTGCAATGCCAAAAACCAGCATGTGCGCCAGCCAGCTGATTGTCAAGCTCACATGTGCATTACAACTCGGAAGTTCAGCTTTTCCGGAGTGTGGCCCTGATGAGCACACGCATAATGTTTCTGCCCACCAAGTGCCGAAAAGGTTCGCCATCACTGTTCTATGGCATACTGCAGTAGTGGGTTTCAAAATTTTTTAGAACCTCTTCTGTAGGTGTGGCCTGCTTTGTGGGAGTGGCTTGCTGGCCATGTGACCGGGTGGGAGTGGCTTGCCAGCCACGTGACTGGGTGGGCATGGCCAACTTGTAAAATGTGGTGAAATTCACTTAACAATGTTCTTGCTTAGCAAACAAAATGTTGGCTCAGAAACTCTGAAGCACGCAACTCTTAAAGCTATCAGGTTACAAGACTCTTGCACCCCTAACCCTTTAGAAAAAAAACTTGACAGCTTTAAATCTTGTGGACTTCAACTCCCAGAATTCCTCCTCTTGCTCTTCATCTTGATGATGTGTGGACAGACAGGGGGAGGGAGCTGGAACTGGTTCTAAACAGCACTATAGATTTATGGAACCTCTTCTATATAAGAGGTTAGAACAGGCAGGAACCCACCCCTGGCATACTGACAATATGGCATTCTATGGCATATTATCAGGTAAAGGATAATTTTCTTTCAATCCTATCAAAGTTGACAATTGTCATAGGTCAGGTTTCTCCTCTTTTCGTTGCTTGTAATTACTTTCTCTCTCTCTCCACAGGTAGGTAGTAGAATGGTCATTGTAGCTGGGGGCCTTGTTCTACTTTTGACTGGCATGTTTGGCAAGATTGGGGCTGTGTTTGCCAGCATTCCAACACCCATCATTGGAGGAATGTTTCTTGTGATGTTTGGTATCATCACGGCTGTGGGGGTTTCTAATTTACAGGTAAGTGGATTCTTTTTTCTAGGATAATTTTGCATGGATAAGACAGAGCGATGGGAAATTACTTGTAGGATGATTTACAAATTGAGATGTGCTGAGTATCATTTGGTATTTTCACATGCCAAATTACATGGATGATCAAAACCAATATTCAGTTTGTGAATGTGTTCAATTGATTCTTTTTATGATGTTTTAATGTGCCATGCTAATTCTAGTGCTATTGACTTGTAGGAATCTTGTATTGAAAATCTACCCATATATAGGGATTTAGTCCAATTTATTTGTTGAATTTAGATACTAGCCTCTTGCTCAGAGTGATTCTGAGAAGTATGAAATCAGAAAACATAAAGACCCCAAATCCATATAAAAATCCGTATATCAATAAAAGAGGCAGATAAAACAAGAATAAAATAACTTAGAAATTCAAACGTAGGAACAGGGCCATCAACCCTCAAGGTTGCATGCTGCTCAGTAAGCCCCAAGTGAATTGGCAGTCAGGTCTTCAGACTTCTTCAAGAAGCTGGGAGGGAGGGTATGCTTCACCTCTAGAAGAAAGATATTCCATAAGACAAGGACAATGGCAGAGAATGTCCTCTTCCTGGACCCCTCCAGTCAAAATTCTTTAATCAGAAAGGTCAGCAGCTTGGTGGTTTGAAACCCTTGTGCCATGTAACGGAGTGAGCTCCGGTTACTTGTCCCAGCTTTTGCCAACTTAGCAGTTTGAAAGCATGTAAAAATGCAAGTAGAAAAATAGGTACCACCTTTGGTGGGAAGGTAACAGCATTCCGTGCCCCTTCTTTGGCATTTAGTCATGCCAGCCACATGACCATGGAGACATCTTCGGACAGTGCTGCCTCTTCGGCTTTGAAACAGAGATGAGCACCGCCCCCTAGAGTCGGGAACAACTAGCACATATGTGTGGAGGAGAATTTTTACCTTTACCTATTGTGGAACTATCAACTACCTCTCTTCTTCAGTCTTTCCTATGAAGTCTTTACTTTAGCTACCAAATTCTCATGTCTTGCCATAACCCAATTTATTTACTATATTTTAAATATATGCTTTACTATAACAGTAGAAGAGAATATTTACAATACTGTATATGCTTCATTTACAACACATGCTTTACTTCTGTCTCTCCTGCCTCTTGTTTACTCAGTGTTGGATTTTCAGAATCTATGTTCTTGGGCTCAGGAACTTGTCCTGTGGCACCCTGAGTATGCAAAGTTAAGCAATTCAAGTGTCCTTGAATTAATTTAGATTGCAGGAAACAGCATTCATGCAATTTTTTCTTGGCAGCATTGTGGAACCGATTTGCTACTAACAGAGAGTCCTCAACTTAAAACCATTCTTTTAGTGACTATTTGAAGTCACAACAGCAGTGAAAAAGGTGATTTATGACCTTGTGTCACACTCATGACTGTTGCAGCATCCCCATGGTCACATGACCAAATTTCAGATGCTTGACAACTGACAAATATTTATGATGATTGCAGTGTCCTTGGGTCATATGATCACCTTTTGTGTTCTTCTGATAAGCAAAGTGAATGGGGAAGCCAGTTTTACTTAACAACCATATTACTAACTTAACAACTGCTGTGAATCACTTAACAACTGTGGCAAGAAAGATCGGGAAATGTGCAAAACTCAATTAACAACCATCTTACTTAGTAATTTTGGTCTCAATTGGGGTTGTAAGTTGAGGACTACCTGTCTCTTTTTCAAGGAGACTTGTCACAACAATCTGGGAATTTACAGCAGGTTCCCCTTCTTAGTACCAATCGATGCTAATCTTGATTAATACTGGGGGGGTCAAAGTTTGGCCAGGTAAGGCTCAGAGTATCTAGTATGTTATAATAATGCTGATCTGTTTACATGTAAAATCATTGGCGTAACTCAATACATTTTCTTTCAATTATACCTCTTTGTCAGTACACAGACATGAATTCTTCAAGAAACATATTCATCTTTGGATTTTCTATATTTGCTGGCTTGACTGTTCCACACTGGGTGGAAAATAATGCAGAAAAACTAAAAACAGGTACATAGGACAACAGTTTTGATTATTGCCTTTCATCTGAAGTAAGTCAGAGCAATAATTAGAAGTACAACAATAATGGGGAAGTATGATCATATATTAGTCTTCTACACTGTAGGTTTTCTTACTCTAAGATCTTTTGTATGTGCAAAAATATTGTTACATGTGGGCTATATAATGAGGAGAATATGACTGCAAATGCTGTGATTTAGTTCAGACGTTCGGAGGCTATTAGTAATATTACAATAAATATTAGCTAGTGTAGTCATGTATGAGGAAGTGATACTATCAGTATCTAACATAATTTAAGGTTTTCCAGTTCTGATTTATTCACTCTTTATTTATTCTACTGTATGATATTACTTAACTTTCCTTGGGAAATCTATACACGCAAGTCTATATTTGAGCTGCCAGTTTGTATCAGATCTGAAATTTGGCTCTAGTGAATTCTAGTTGCAAAACTGTAGCTTCAATTGAACCTTTGTGACAACATTTTGGGAAATTTACTGAGTAGTACCATTGCACATATCATGTACAATACAGCATTCTAAAACATTGCTCAGACTTGGATGATTTCCTATTAGATAAATCTAGTGGATCATTAACATAAAAAGGACTGAACCAGCAATTTGAACTGGTTGAATCATAGCAATCAAATTACCAGTTGCTGGATGAGAGCTAATTAAGGAATTGGAGTATTGAAAATTGAGTCCTTCAGAAAGCATCCCATTCATGATGCTAAAGTCAATGGTCCATTGATGTGAAGCTGCAAAATCAAAACCTACACTCTTATATTCCTTGCTTGTTTATCACACGGCTACATGGATAATTTATGCAGTAATATGCAATAATACCAGGGTTTCTGTACAGAAGACAGAAACAAAATGAACATTTCGCATGGACTACAAATGTTTTTAGTGTAAAGTATATGCCATAGCCAGATTATTAAAAGAAAAAAACATTTATTTTTTTATGAACACTTCTTCGTAAGCTAAAAAAAATGGGATAGATAGCTTCACCACTGTATGGATTCACAACTGGCTGACAAACTATACTCAACGAGTAGTCCTTAATGGTTCAAAGTCTACATGGAGAGAAGTAAGCTGTGGGGTACCACAAGGTTCCGTCTTAGGCCCACTACTCTTCAATATCCTCATAAACAACTTTGATAAGGGAATAGAAGGGGAACTTACCAAATTTGCAGCTGATACTAAGCTGGCAGGAATAGCTAACACCCTAGAAGATAGGCTCAAGATCCAGATGGATCTTGGCAGACCTGAACACTGGGCCTTATCTAACAAAATTAAATTAAATGTAGAGAAAAGTAAAGTCCTACACTTAGATAAGAAAAACCAAAAATACACATATAAACTGGGTAAAACCAGGCTAAATAGCAGTGACTGTGAGAGGAATCTTGGAGTCTTAGTAGACAACAAGCTAAATATGAGTCAGCAGTGTGCAGCGGCAGCCAAAAAAGCCAATTTAGGATTGCAATAACAGAGGGATACAATCAAGTTCAAGTGAGGTATTAATATCACTCTATAAAGCCCTAGTAAGACCACACCTAGAGTACTGGATCCAGTTTTGGTCACCACACTATAAAAATGATGTTGAGACTCTAGAAAAAGTGCAGAATAACCAGGATGATTAGGGGACTGGAGACTAAAACATATGAAGAACGGTTACTGGAACTGGGCATGTCTATCTAGTGAAGAGAAGGACCAGGGGAGACATGATAGCAGTATTCCAATATTTGAGGGGCTGCCATAGTGAGGAAGGGTCAAGCTATTTTCCAAAGCACCTAAAGGCCAGACAAGGAATAATAGATGGAAACTGACCAAGAAAAGATTCAACCTAGAAATAAGGAGGAACTTTCTGACAATGAGACCAATTAACCAATGGAATAGCTTGCCTTTGGAAGCTGTGGAGGCTTCATCACTTGAGACTTTCAAGAGGAGATTGGACTGCCATTTGTCAGAAATGGAGTAGGGTCTCCTGCTTGATCAGAGTGGTGGGGTTTGGACTAGATGACCTAAAAGATCCCTTCCAACTCTGTTAATCTGTTAATTTCAAATGACTCAGCTTTCTTCCCTTAGGAAAGGATTGGGAGGTTGTGATTTGATCCGATACTCATTGGATTCTCTTTCTAGGAACTTTACAGCTAGACCAAGTGATCCAAGTGCTGCTAACTACTGGCATGTTTGTTGGTGGATTCCTGGGCTTTTTTCTTGATAACACTATTCCAGGTAACCTTTGATCATGGTTCATCTTCCTTGAATTTTTGATAGCATTTATGGTTGTATGTAGTACAGCAGTAAGAGTAAAGGCTACACTTGCATTTTGAGAATTTGTCTATGGATAAAAAAATTTCTTACTCCAGGGCTGGTCCTTGAGAGCCCTCAATTATACTCCAAGGGCTCTTGTAGAAGTTGCCAAGACATTATGATGTTTAAATGGCTATGGGAGAAGTAATAAAAAAGTAAGCAATGATCACCCCACCAAATATTAATTTAGTTATTTTATTTAAAACATTTATATGGCCACTTGCTTTAAAACGTAACAGCTTAATTAAAATTTTATTTAATTGTAAGTAAAATTATGCAGAATTTAATTTTTATTTTGTGTTAAATACTTAGTTTTGGAACCGGCTAGATCCCATTATCAGGGACAGTACAAAACATTTTCAACAAGCTGTTCAGTACTATGTGACATGAAAATAGAAAAACATTTATACTTTTCTAATTGCTACCCCTGAAGATAAGATTGAGATGCTACCTAGCTGTGTCAGAAGTTGTTCTATTGATGGTGCAAAGTAAATTATATAATTACATTCATGCATACACCAGAGATGGTATTCAGCAGGTTCTGACCAGTTCTAGAGAACCAGTAGTAGAAATTTTGAGTAGTTCGGAGAACCGGCAAATATCACCTCTGTCTGGCCCCACCCCCATCTATTCTCTGCCTCCCAAGTCCCAGGTGATCAGGAGGAAATGGGGATTTTACAGTATCCTTCCTCTGCAGTGGGGTGGGAACAGAGATTTTACAGTATTCTTCCCCTGCCACGTGCACCAAGCCATGCCATGCCCATCAAGCCATGCCATGGCCACCAAGCCATGTACTACAGAACCAGTAGTAAAAAATGTTGAATCCCACCACTGGCATACACTCTGACCAGTGAGTCAGTGCCTATAGGAATATTCATGCCAATTCCTTAGGAAAGAGTCATGTGATTTGGCCTTATCCACTTGGTAAAACCACTTAGTGTCCTTGTCGTTGTCACCTGAAGAAAGCAAGAGTGTTGCATTGTTGAGCGGGATCACAGATATTTCTATTTAGAACGTCTTGTGGATTTGTGCATGTCTCACATTACATATTTTGGAAAGAATATGAGAAACATATTTCTGTCACTTACCAACTTGTTATCACTGATCAAGTACATTATGGGAAATATTTATTGTAATCTTCTCATCCTGAAGGACAGGTAGGCTTGCAGCTGTTAGATGTTGCACACTCCCCCCCCCCCCACCAATTCTGGAAGCCTCCTAATCAGATGCTTTTGTATAGAAGCTCCCTTCCTAACTGTGATAGCATGGGGTCAGCTACTTGAAGGAGTAACAGATAATCTATCATATTGGAGAAAAGTGATGCAAGTTATTTCATTCCTCAAATCAATACTGTGTTTATCCTAAATTAGCTGAATTGTGGGGGGCAGAAACTATTGTATCAAGGAGAATTGGGATGGATAGGTGGTCAAATTCCACTTTCCCTGACCTTTTATGTGGGCTTTTCTAAAATCACACATTCTGATACTAGTATTTCTGATAGTAGTACTAGCATTTACAGCAAATAACCATAACTTAGTTGAGGGGTCCTGCTATTCACCATCTTACTTCCATTTTGCAGGAAGCCAAGAAGAACGAGGACTCCTCGCTTGGAGAAAAGATGATAGTGAAGAGTCTGATGGCGCTGTGAATAACCTGCACATTTATGACCTTCCATTTGGAATCGGTTCCAGGTTCTGTGTTGCTAACTGGTTTAAATATCTTCCAATATGCCCTAAGCAAATGGCTACCCAAGGTGCAAAGGAACTGAAGAGCAACAAAGCTGATTTTGAAAGGAACTCTGATAATGATATTAACACAAAGGTTTAAATCTGCACCCAGAAGCGGAGGGAAACCCACTTTCCTAAGGTTTTGAAAAACCACCTTCCTTTTTGTGGGTTTTGCAGCCCTTGAGTTGTGTGTGGCTCAAGACTAATGTCCAAAAAATAGTTCGATGATTTCCTCTCCCACTTACCCCGACTGGAAGAATCCTGAATGTCAATTTCTTTATGGCATCATTTCAGGAAATCATTTATTTAGGGATTGGAAAGTACAGGTGTGGGTCATGGGAAAGAACTCTCTTTTCCATGATGGAAAACTGTTGCCTAGAAAATCTGAGCCTAATTCTTGGGAATATGAATAAACGAATCCTAAAGCATCTATCTGAGGTTTTGGTAAATACAGCCTCAAGCTTTGTGTCAGCTGAACTGATTGGATGCAGTTGAGCAAACCCTACATTTGCATGCTTTGGACTTTTGGTATCTCCCTATTTTTTAAATCATCAGAATGGTTAGATTTATAAAAGCTCTGAAGGATAATAAATTCTGGTTTCCAATAAAAATGTAAATCGTCACATGACCACAAGATGCGGCAAATGGCCATAAAACAGTGCATTGCCAGGCCCTTAAAATGCATCCGTGTGATTTTTTTGGGGGGGTGATCAGAATTTTGAATCTGGGTCATATGTGCCTTTTTGGGGGGGGGGGGTCCCTTGTAACATCAAACATTTGCGAAGTGACCAGCCATAAGTTGAGGACTATCTGTACTTTATCCAGATAAATATCTGTCTGTATAATGTTCTCCCTTATTTTAAACTGTATCCAAAGAAAAATATCAGTAATCTGATATGCATGAGGAAACACTTTCGATCAGTCTCTTGTGGGTAGGCCATTTTGGTTTACTAATAAGCCCTACTTAATGCTGACAGTTGTTTTCTATGTTCTGATTTTGGGAGGATTGCACTGATGTCTTGTTTGTAATTGCATCATATCACATTAAGGGTTTGCATTGCAAATCAATATTTTCTAAAATTCTGAAAAAAGGGATTTTGATCTGATTAACCATAGGGCATTATGGAAGGCCAAATCAGGCCCTTTCTGCCCATTTCAGTTTCCTGTTATATGTATCTAATTACATGTGCCAAATAAAATATTCTATTTCCATGTTGTATCTCCTTTTTTTCATACCACCTGTATGTGCACTCTTCAGTCTTCATTTTGGATTTAATACTGGTTTTAAACTTTGAGTATCGTTACTCTGAATTAAGCAAAGGGATAAGTTACATACACTATTTCTCAACCTAGCAATTGCATCTTCTTTCTCTACATGGTTATTAGGAAATATGAATGGAAGCCTTTCTTCATAGCATATACATACATACATGCATACATACATACATACATACATACATACATACGAATAGTTTGAATGGAATAAACCAAGGTAGGTAGACACATGCCCAACTAGAGAATGTGCTGTATAATATGCTTCTTTATAAATAAGAGATTCTGACAAATTCTGGCTTAATGATCCTCCCCATTCCAAGGAGCAAATTGGCATGGGGCAGTTGCTGGTCATGTGAAGAAATTAGAATAGGAAAAGTTTGTTCTATTCAGATAAAGAAAGCAAAGTTATAGAATATGCTCTTTTCCACGAATTCCTTCTATGGCACACATGCATCATGTAAATAAAAATGCATGATGTACCGTATATGTGCCCAGACTTTCTCTGTATAGTTAGTTACGCAAAAGTAATTAGGTAGATATGTAACAAATATCAGAATACCTTTTAGTGGACAAAACCCTTCACCAGATTAAATTTGCCTTAATCTGTGTACTTAACGAAATTACTTTTAATTTTATGCCATACTGCTTATAATTTTATGCTTAATGAGTCATTCAAATGGAGATAAGGTAAATTTTATAACTAATATGAAAAAAGGTATCTTGGATAGTTTTTTTAAATGAAATATTGTGTTAGACTTTGTCATGACCAAAATTAGATTTATACCACTCTAAGTAAATTGTTTTTAAAACAATAAGTTTTAAGCCACCCAGAATCACTGAGGTGATATGAGCAGTGATAGGAATTTGATGAACAAACAAACAAACATTGTTTAGGAGAACAATGAACATCCTATTTTGAGCAGGTATTTGAAAAAGAAAGGACTACAAAGGTGTGTCATTCTTGTGCTGGGTCCAGATCTAATCTATCCAGAATGTGCTTAAAATGAATGCCACTTTCTGTACGTGCCCTGCCTTGTAGCCATCATCACTAACTTAGAGGTTTGGCAAGAATACTGTAACTCAAGGCAAAAGAGCTTGCTGATCTGCAGGCTGGCAAGCAACTGGCAGCTGAGCTTAACATTTCAAATCTTGATGTAATTCTTTGGTGCATGGCTGAAATAAGTATACTGTATAGAGAAACAAGACCAATGATTTCAGTAGCAGGAAATCACATTCTGTCTAGTTTAATCTCTGCAGAGAAACTGGCTTTCACTTACCTTCTGTTTTCTATAACTGATTAGGATGCTCCAAATGAAGAAGAAATATGGAATGGATCTCATGCAGATGGGAAATACAGAAACTAGTTCAGAGAAGCAATCAGAAGCTGTATTGTATACAGCATTCGGCATATGTAAGATTGTAACCCCTTTTTTATATCTTGGACTAACTGATAGGTTTAAAAAAATTTCATTATTGTGACAGCTTTGTAAACTGCCTTGGGTATATCATGACTTGGAAGAATGGAACAGAAACAAATACACTGCTGATGTTTGTTGGGATTGAATAGCATTAATAACTGAATAAATTACCATTTATGCATATTTTAACAGTTTCAGATGGTACTGTCCCACTTCTAAAAATATCCATATGGTAACTCTGCTGAATAAGGGAAGATTGTTAATAGCTGCCCTTAATTGCTTTCTTTCCTTGCAGCATAACACTACTGCGTGATTGCAAGTAGTAGATGCCCTTCTCCAGTTTATTTACAGAAGCTATAAAAAAGTACTATAAAGTACTACCAGACTACTATATTTTGGACCTATTCTAGAAATGTCTATCCTTGACATCTGAAAGAAGTTTAATAAATTGCCATATTCTTAATCCAGATCATTCTGGTGGCCGCTGTATTACTATTACTTGTTAGATTTACATCTCAACTTTCTTTCAGAAACTCAGGATGCTACAAATGCATTCCTGTCTCCAATTTTCCCCATAAGAGGCCAGAGAGATGACAACTAGCATAAAGTTCTCCAGGGTACTTCCTTACAAATGTAAGAAAAGATTTAGGTACCCCCTAGCTAAATAGTGGATTTTGGTGAATCTCCACATGAATGGAAGTTGACACAGCCTTTACATGCTACAAAGTTAAACACAACATCTTGGTAGTTTTCTTGCAGACATTTCATTACTAAACTCGGTAACATCATCATTAAATAACATGGCCATTACATGAGGATGTTACCTAATTTGGTAATGAATAGTCTGCAAGAAAACTACCAAGACATCAAGGATGCCCCAGTTCAACTCTGAGCTACAAATATCCCCTTCTATCAATACAGCATGGTCTTGTAAGTGTACTTTTAAATACATACTTAGAAAATATGTGCAGCTGTTAATAGACTCAAAGTAAGGAAATTGAATACGGGATAATTTTGAATACTTTTTTTCAGTTAGTACCTTGTTAATTCCACTTTTCGCAGATATAATAGCTTTCCAACATTTCCTCTAATTCAAGGGTGTCAAACATCAGGTGACATATTGGGGCTTTCCCTGCACCTTCATTAAACCAGGCATGGCCGTGGCCAGCACATGACACATCTGGCCCATGGGCCGGGAGTAACAACAGCCCTGCTCTAACCACTTAAGAATCTTTCATTCCTGCTTTTTGAAATTTTCCTCACTCTTTCTTGCATAACTCCTCTAAGTTCACAAATATTCTTAGGCCCGTCATAAATTGTTGATATTTAATTCTGAAGACTGTGAAAGTCATACCAGAATGTTTAGCTTTCTTTCCTGTATATACTTTATAATTAATTTGGAGGTAGTTTAGATTGCCTTGCTAAGATAGGTGGCCTTGTTTTGTTTCTGACATTAACTTCCAGATATATTGATATATAGTTGAAACCATTCTTCATTCCACCTGCACAATATTGCATGTGCCACTGATTGCCATCTAAGCCGAAAATATAAGAGACCTCTGTGTTTCAAGGTTTGCAAGGTGTCCATTTCTTCACATGCTTTACTCCTTTTTCTCCAAATGCATCTTGTGTGATTGTAACCAGACAGTTCAATGTTTGTTGTAAAACTTTTCAGGCTTATTGAAGTTTTCTTGTTCATACTTTGAACAATGGTTTGTGGGATGTGTTTTCCTTACAGTAACTCTTCCATGCAGATCATTGCTGTACAAGGGAAGCTCTGATGTGGATACCTTCTCTATTAAGTTCAAATAGTTGCACATAAAAAGTGATTGATGATTGTCTCTTAGTTTATAACCAAAAAGCAAGGTTTTCTTGGCAGGCTTAATTAGATTTATTGGGGGGAAAAAGGAATTGGGTTACAGAAAATTTAGCAACTGAGTACACTGACTTTAGTACCCATTTTATCTTTTAAGTTTGTTAGGGTGTTGAGCTCTTGATCCTTTTGCTAATCACTGTTTGATGGGGTAGTTTTTGCCTTTTTCTTGATAAACGAATGTACAGAAATTCAGCATTTATATTTTTCAAATCACCATTCTCTTTCCCAGGTTCTTGAAGCCTATTTACATTAAGTATGTTTTCAAATGTTCATCCAGATCATGGTTGTCCCAAAGGTACTTAAAAAAAAACACCTTTCTTTTATTTGAAAATGTTTTGCTTCTCATGCAAGCAGCTTCTTCATTTAGCTTCAGTTTTGATTTAGCTTCAGTTTTGTAGTTTGTATCTGTGATGTCATCTAGTGATTATTGAAAGATACAATTTGACCAGGTGCTTTAACTGTTGCATGGAACAGCAGTTGATAAGAGTACTGCATCACCCTATTCCAATACAATAGTTGGAAGGGACCTTGGAGGTCTTCTAGTCCAACCCCCTACCTAGGCAGGAAACGCTATAGCGTTTCAGACAAATGGCTATCCAACATCTTCTTAAAGACTTCCAGTGTTGGAGCATTCACAACTTCTGGAGGAAAGCTGTTCCACTGATTCATTGATCTAACTGTCAGGAAATTTCTCCTCAGATCTAAGTTGCTTCTCTCCTTGATTAGTTTCCACCCATTGCTTCTTGTTCTACCCTCAGGTGCCTTGGAAAATAGTTTGACTCCCTCTTCTTTGTGGCAACCCCTGAGATATTGGAACACTGCTATCATGTCCCCCCTAGTCCTTCTTTCTATTAAACTAGACATACCCAGTTCCTGCAAATTTGATGAGTTCCCCATTTATTCCCTCTTCCAAATAATTGATGACGATGTTGAAGAGTACTGGACCGAAAGCAGAGCCTTGGGGTACTCCACTACATACTTCCCTCCATGAAGATGCAGTTCCAGTATTTTAACTATTATATTATACTGGTTTTATTGTGAATTTTCCTTGAGATGATGTCAGAAGTACAGAAACATCTAAATTTTAAAGGGACTTTCACTAATTTGGGGCCTTGCTTGATGGGAATTTTGGGAATATGTTCTAACATATCTAAAGGCACCAGGTTAAGACAAAGCTGTTTTCATTAATGAAACAATTGGTATCACATGTAGTTTGCCCTTAGTTTTTAATTTTAACTATAGGATGTGAGAAGACTATGACATGACACTTGGCAACACTGAAGACACATATTTAAAAAAGAACTTTATGAATGTTAAACTTCGATACATGTAAAGTAACTGCTGAGAAACTGCAAAGCCAACGTAAACAGAACTGTTTGTAACATGATGTATGATGAGAAATTGTAATAACGTCTCCCGTGGTAATGCTTCTTTTCCCCTTTTTAAGGAAAATGGGAAAATGTTAAACAGCAGCTATATTTCTGCACTTCACATGTTCAGTTATACATCATCATCAAATGTCTCCGTGCATCGCAACATCACAGTCTCGTAGTCTAACTGAAGAATTTCTTCCTGCCAAAAATAAAGGTGGGGAGAAGAATAATTAAAGTTCTATTAGGAGCCAGACTATTTTTGGGAGTTAATGAATAAACATCCCATATGAAGTTTAAATGACCTACAGAACAATTTTTTGGTAGCCAGATTCTCGATATACTGAGCTTACTTGTGTTTTTACATAAATGCAGCATGACTTTGTGACAGATGCTAATCAGAGTCTGCTGATTTATGGATGTGAATGCTTTCCCTTCAGCTGGTTTCCTTACCAGGAGGGCTGGCTATCTCATAGCTCAAAAATATAGCAAGTCAAGTCTACCAAATTTAAATCAAGATGTAGAAGAAAAAAAAGCACAATAATGTGAAAAAAAAGTTATTCAAATACTATTTTGAAACACAAAATCCCACATTAACTCTGTACTTCCCATTAGAGAGTGGCTCTAATCCTAAAGTGCATTTTTTTAAAAGGTGGAAATTAAAGGAAGAACATTACTAAATAGACAAGCTTTTTGTTCAGTTTGAAAAACCAATTTCTCCCTATGGCAGAAGTTTTGATTTGCAGTCAAAAGCAAATACACAAACACAGTCAAACTTACAGAAAACTGATTCTCTTAGATGTTTTCTTTTAAATATGTCTCTTTGTATCTGATGTAATTTCTGTTTTTGTTTTGCTAAGTGCAGTGTTCAGATTTCTAGAACTCATTTCTAGAATGAGTTAATGGGAAACTCATATATTAACATTCTAAAAATATTTAAAAATAATGTAGAAAAGATACTAAAGGCTGATTAATATAATCACACGTGCTTACTGAGTTTGTGGGATTTATGATGAAACATATACATAAATACCCATTTATTGCCATCCATCAAGCTTAGTTTATCACCACAACATGTCAAATTCAGAAGGAACAGATGAAGAGTAAGATAGGATAAGTTGCAAATGATGTGTGTAAAATAAAGTACGATATATTAGCTCCTCTCAATCAAACTACTGAATTGATTTTGATTCAATATACTTTTTTAAACAACAGAAACATCTACATTTCATTGATATCAAGAAAAACTTGTAGGTGATTAATTTTGGTTAAGGTTCATTACCTAGCTTGTATAGCAACCTATACATAAGCTATACTAGGATAGAGATAGTAAGCATTAGAATGGGAAGCACCTGCAGGTCACTGCTGGAGTTCCCTGCATTGGGGATTTATTCGTTGATTTTTTAAGTCATTCTCCTAAGCAATTCCACTTCCACGGGTGCTATTCTTCTCCTCTTTAAATTCATGTTTCCATACTAGGATTTGGAAGGATTTTAAATTGTTTTTCCATAATGCAGATGTTATTCTCTAGAAACTAACTGGAAATTGAGGAGTTGCAATGCCAGCATATCAGGATATATCAGTTTGTGGGACGCCGCCATAATAAAATTGCTCAACATAGTTTCACATTCTTTTACAAGCAAATTACATAAAATTATATTGATATCCATCATTTATTAAACTTAAACCATTGTGGGCATTATTTTAATTTGGAGGCTTACAGTATGAGTGTTTCCACAACACCCAAATTGTCATTCCTTATAAATCCATTTGAAACAAGTAACTTCAAATCTTTCAGCCTTGAAAAACTGAGAATACAAAGAGAATCCCACAAGCTGATTATTGCTTACCCTACATCTAACAAAAAGAGACTTTAAAGAACATTTCTATTAGTCATGGAGCAATACAAATCCCCCCACCCTTGCTACACACAAAAGGAAATTAAATAAATTGTTAGTGCCCACTGCCCATCCCATCATTTTTCAGTACTTGGTAGTTTGGCAGACTAAATTAGAGAGATTATTGTGATGGGTAGCTAGGCAGAGAGAAAGTTGATGGTGCACAGAAATGCACTAAAATCCTCCTGTAGCATCTTTCAGCTAACTTGCTGCCATTTAAAAACTCCTATGAATTCCATATCGGGAAAGTGTTTGGAAAGAAACAGCCTGTTGGCAAATTTGAAACCAGTCACTTTGCCCAATAGTTATGAGAATGGTTGCATGTTTCTACAACTTTAATTGAAACAAGGAAGAGATATGTTCCAAGCAGAATATACAGCTAGGGAAAAGGTCTGGGAATAAGATGTAGAACTTTGGGATTATACAAAGAAGATTAATGGCTGTCTTGCCTTGAATCCATGGCTGAGTAAGGCACCTTTCCCCACTAATAAAACAGATAACCACAAATTTGTAGTCTCCCAGAGATTAAAAGAAACACGGACAACAAGCATATCAATTTCCTCAAACAATATTGTGAGAACAGTCAAGCCAAAGTCAAACCCAGCTTAACATAAAATAAGCAATGATGTGGAAGTGCCCTAAATATCCATTCAATCTAGTACCTATTAGCCAATAGTTTTGGAAGTTCATAAATTCAATCCAACACATACACAAATCTTGTTCAATTTCTCTCTTTTTTCAAACTTTCTACATTAATTTCGTAGAGAAGAGATGGTGTAAAGGACCAGTCTAGGGACATATTATCCTGGAGAAGATCTACCTTTATGTTCCATGTTCAGTGTAAGCTGAACGTATTAATTTCCAACATATTTATGAATGGATTTTCTCTCCCCGCTCCAGTTAGTTGTATTTGTACAAAACCAGGGGCTCCAACTGGCTTCTAAAATACATGCTTAACAAATACTACCAGCAGCCTTCATGAAAATCATTATCTATACTTAACACTAATTGCACATTAGTATGTAGGATAAAGAAATTTATATTTTTTTAAAATGAAAAGCTAGGTCAATTTCACTTTGAAGGTTAACATACCTGCTTTAATTTGCATGCCATTTCTGATTTTATAGATCTGCGACTTTTCATGACAGTTACCTTTTTTCAATATCCAAAAATTATGCTTTAAATCATTTTCTGAACGTTCCAGATTGTAAGAAATAATAAAATAATAAGATTAACTGTTACATTTACCCAATATGTTTCAAATCTGTGAAACATAAGAATTGTCTTACAGACAGTATGCCAATGATATGAGCTGTTTAGATTCCTTGTTTCAACATTAACAAAATGTGTATCAAATGTTTTGCATCAAGAATCTAGAAAAGTTGTAAAAAATCTAGAAGTGTGAAGGCCATCCCTTTATTGTGTCATTTCTCTTCCACCTCATTAAGGGGAAATGCTTGATCCTGAAACTAGAGGGCACAAGCAAAATATCTACTATCAAAACAGTACTTCATCAAACAGATCTAAATAGGTGGTTATTTTGTGATCCATCCTGTTTTGAAATCGATTCTTTTGAGTAGAAATTAGGTAGCATCTGATAGCAATCAGACACTGATGAAAAGCAATGTATTTAAATATGATAATAAATTATATTTAAAAGAGAGAAAACAGGTGTTGGTCCTGGTTAACTAACTTTTAGATGCACAGAATAAAAATGCTTCAACAGATTATTAATGAACAAAATGGTATTTAAAGTATGTAAGAGTCTGGCAATATTAAACACACTTATTGGATATGAAGCTCAGAGTTACTACTGAGAAAACGTATTTGGACTAAATTCACTTGCTTAAAAATAGCACTGATTAATTTTTTAGGTAAAAAAGACAAGAAATGAAATAATATTGCTGTACTATTTGGTTTTTATAAATAAGACTCTTTATTTATTGCTAATAATATAATACTATAATACTATAATACTATAATAATACTCTCTATTTATTGCTAATAATTACTCATTACTGCTCTATGTGAAGCTGCCTTTGAAGACCACCCAGCAGTCATAAATGATCCAGAATGCAATACCATGGGTAAGATATAAATGCATTGTGGCCATGTGATATTTCTGCCTTACCAGCTGTGTGGTTTCCAGTAAGTTTTGATTGCAGTTCAGAGTGTCTGATTATCACCTATGAAGCCTTTTTAGGACATAGGATTGTGTAATTTGTGGGATGCCTGTTCCCCAAAATATCTATCCATTCCACATACTTGAATAAAATGCACAGATACAGGATCCCTTCATTAAATAATGTCATCTTAGGAGTCCCAGGTGTGTCAGAGGCTCATAAGACCTAATCAAATGACCACATATTTAGGCATCGGGTGCCAATTGCTGTAAACCACACCAATGTACTTCTACTTTTTCCCCTTACTAAATACTTTCATTTACATAATTTTGCTTTCCTTCATTTTTTGTGGTTTTTCTCATGAAGAGTGTGCCTTAAAACAGGGCTATCAAACTCACGTGGTCACAGCAGCATCATGCCTTCTTCTCTTTAGTGCAAGGGTGTCAAACTCACGTCATCACGTGACGTATCACAACTTTCTCCCCCTTTGCTAAAGTGGATGTGGGCGTGGCCAGCGCATGACGCATCCGGCCTGTGGGCTGGGAGTTTGACAGCCATGCCTTAAAAGATCCAGGGATTGAGTATTTTATCAATGAAATACATATGTGACAAGATCTTCAACAACTACAAGCAAATTTCAACTTTTTATGCTACTTACAGAGCATTAGGCAACCCCATTTCCTCTCAAAATGCTCAGTTTAATTATGCTACAGTTCTCCAGAGATTTAAGAAAGGTCTCAATTTACAACTCAAGGAATGACAGAGAAAAAATAAATGTTGCCATAGATGGTGGCAGAACTTGGCTGTTTTTTAGGTTTGGAAGATAAGCAGGTTTGATAGTGATTAGTACTTGGGTGAGAGATCACCAGGAGATTTCAAGGTTGTAGGCTAAAGTGGGGTGGGGTGGGGTGAATCCCACAAAGTGACAGTAAATCATGTCATTACTATTGCCAAGAAAACTGCATAGCCATATACATGTAATTACCAAACCTAATCCTAACCTAGGGCAGTTTCAGTTGAAAATTGTTACCACATGAGTAGCTGAGAAATGACATAATTATGGAACTCTGAAAGTAGATTTAAAGTGATTTATCATCACTGTGCATTAGTCACTTTCAACTTTTCCCAATTGCTTCAATGTCTTTGTGACAGAGATTGTGCTTCTTCCACAACATAAGAAATGGTCCTAACAAAGCTAGTTTCAAGCACATTGCAAAATCCTACCTGTGACGGTTGTGTGCTAGCAAAAAACAGGTTTTTCAAGAAGCTGATGATCTGCAAGTAGAGACGATGGTTATCCTCTTGACTATCTGAAGCACAGACTGTGAATGCTGAGCTGCAAACAAAATAATCTATACTGAGGTTCCCTATCAATTGTGTGGAAGAGAAAGCAAGCCTTTAAGAAAATGCGTATAAAAAAAGGCCTGTATGATTACAGGTTTGACTGAAAGGAAATTCACACAATTATCTAGCTTTGCTTTCATTGCAGTGCCAGAACTAATGGAAAAACTGTGACTCCTGAAATTGGGCTGCTCCCAAAGAGTTCCTTGTGGTGCCACCTGAGCAGGTCTGCATCACTGCCCCCTCAGTCTGCCACCTCAGAGTTCACAACTGATGGCAGACAAAGCCACAATCAACATGTAGGGTTTTTTGTGTGTGTATCTCTCTTCATAAGGATAATCAAATGTGTAACCTCTGTATGTGATCAGCTTATCAACCTCTGACACTCCAACACCTTTGGGGGATGTCGGCAACTAGTCAAGCAATTTGTCCATTAAAGGAAATAAAAATGGTTGCTAGAGCTGGAAGATTAATTACCTTCACAGCAAAAAGAGGACTGAGGGGCAGAGAGGGTATGGTCCAACAGGAAATAGCAATACCACTAGCAATAGCACTTAGACTTATACACCACTTCACAGTGCTTTACAGCCCTCTCTAAGCAGTTTACAGAGTCAACATATTTCCCCCTACGTTCCGGGTCCTCATTTTACTGACCTCAAAAAGATGGAAGGTTGAGTCAACCTTAAGCTAGTCAGGATTGAACCCCTGGCAGTGGGCAGACTCTCCCTGCAATACCGCATTCTAACCACAGCACCACCAAGGAAAACTTGTGGAACCAGCTGGAACATGTAATTTTAGACCGCCTTCCCCATGAGCATTCATGTGCCATATGTTGTCTGCATGTGGAGTCTTGAGGCAGAATATTACACACAGCATAACTTCTAGAATAGGACACCAGAAAACCTCTTTCAGCTACCCCAGCTATAGGCTGCCTTGATATACAGGCAAAGGTAGAAGAACTTATAGACTGGGAGCAGGAAGTGCTTGTAGTAGGGTCAGGAGATTATGCAGGTATGACCTGAAGTTGACCAAGGCAATGAATAGCCCAGAGAGATATGGGCAAATAGTTATTCTGACTTAGTTAGTGATTCCAAATCTCCTTCTTCCCTTTAGTGCAGGGGTGTCAAACCCACGTTGTTACGGTGGCGTCAGGTGACATATTGCGACCTTCCCCCTTCACTAAAGTGGCATGTGGGCGTGGCTAGTGTATGATGCATCTAGCCCGTGGGCCAGGAGTTTGACACCCCTGCTTTAGTGCATCTTTTTCCACTGTAGTTCTCCCTGTCATCTCTATCCCAGTAATGCAATATTCCCCAAATCAGAGCCCCTCATATACACTGCAAGATCCTCAACTTGGATGGCTAGTATCGGTCTATAACACTGAACCTTTACATACCAAACGTACAGTAGTAGTCCTGGCAGTCATGGGCAATCTGTTAGTTATAGTCTCACAAGAAACATCTATTCCTTCACCTCAACAATGACATTTAAGAGAAAGTCAGTAAACACTTATAGTATTTTGAAAAAGACGGACCCCGTTTTTTAGTCTTCAGTCACACTAATTACTTCCAAATGGGTTCTATAAATTTATAACTTTCACATTATCCCTGTCCTATTAAAACATCTCATCTAGATTATGTACCATTCTCTCACTTATGGTCATTTGATTAGACAGTGCTTGAATTTCAAGCTGATAAGTAAACAGGCAAATGCTTTAGGGACTAATTATTAATGTTCCAGAAGATGTTAAGTGTTCTTTCTCTTCTAGTCTGCCTTATATAGCAACATAGCAATTTATCTAGATAAAACCGTTACCTTTGACTGGATATTTCTTGTGTTTCATTTCTATCAAGGAAACTAGTGGCCACATCAAAAGCATCTTCAAAGAGAATCTAAAATAGAAAGCATTCTGGACATTATATCCAAAAGGATCATACAAGAAATCTCTTTTTAATTTCCTGCTATTGACTAGCATTTATTCTAGTGATTCCTAATTAAGTAAGAAGTGCAGCACTTAGTTATTCTAAGATGAAACTGGTTGGTATGCATAATTGTTATGCACTAATTTTTTAGCACTCAAGTTTAAAAAACAGTTAATAACTTTTGCCCAAGAACATTTATTTTTATGGTTTATAGTTTAGGATAATTTCTAATTATTAAGGAGTATACTTTATTAATCTCTATTTATGTTCTCACTGAGCTTGGTTCTAATTAAGATTGCTCAAGAAGAATCTAACAGTGTAAGGGAATAACTACCATATTTTTCAGAGTATAAGACGCACCAAGATTTTGAAGAGGGAAATTAAAAAAAAAGTTTTTGCATTCTGCAGAGCTCCCAAACCCTCTGCACACCTCATTTTTTGTGAAAAATGGGGCATGCAGAGAGTTTGAGAGGCCTGCAAAGTGCTCCTAGGGGCTGTCCCCCCAAAACGAGCAAGAAATGGTCTGTTTTTTTCCACGAAAACAGGCCCATTTTTTGCACAAAAAAAGAAAAAGAAAAAAAAAGGCATGCATAGCCTTTAGGAGGCTTGTAGAGTGCTCCTGGGGGTGGGTGGCAAAAATGAGCAAAAAATTACCCAGGTTTTGCTCGTTTTTGCCCTACCCAGCCTCCAGGAGCATTTTGCAGACCTCTGAAACCCTCTGCATTTTCATTTTTGTGAAGGGGGTGGGGTTTCAGGAGGCCCAAAATGTTGTATTAAGTGTATAAGATGCACCCAGATTTTCATCCTCTTTTGGGGGGGAAAAAGGCCCGTCTTATACTCCAAAAAATACTGTAAATTACTCTCAGCCTCCTTACTAGATGTTGTTCTTTTTCTGAAACTGCTATTTACAGTGACACCCCACAAATGCTGCTTTGCTAGTGTAACAAAAAAAAAGCACTGTCAAAACATCTTAGCCATAAGACATTAGGACAGGAATTAGTTTCTCTGGAACCTATTTAATTAAAAAACAATCATATCCTTCCCCAATGCCAATTATCTACCATGGATTTAGTGGAGTAACCCACATAAATACTAGTTGATAAATGAGGCTTTGTAGTTTTTCCACCTAATCTACCAATCACATATCTCATCTGGTACCTAACATGTTTTAGTTATCACCAATATGAGTCAACTGCTGAATAAAGCAATGACATAGCATGAGCTTACATTCTGAAAATACCAAATGTGATTGTGCTGTAATTAAGATTATTATATTATATAGGTTATTTTGGTTACAATTTTATTTACTCTAGAGAAATCCTTTTTTTAAAAAAAAATGGAGCTATTTTTGAACAATTTCTGAACATTATTGTCAAGATCTATACTTATTGCTAATTTAGCCATAGTATTTCCTGGTGTTTTTAGAAATGATTATATTGCTCTCAGCAATTCTAAATGTTAGAACTATACACTTAACTATTCAACTATAACCGTAGAAGACACCAATTCTCACCTCCTCTGGTGTGGATGCTACTGAACCGCTGGCTTCCTGACTATTGGTTCCACTGTCCCTCACACTGCTCTCGTCAGTACAGGCAGGTTCTTGAGAAGCTGTCTTGAACTCAGAGATGAAATTCTGTCTTTGACTACAGTACTGCAAAACACTGTCCTTCCTGTCTTCTGGGAGTCCCTGCCACAGATGGGAAACAGCTGTGGAGACCACAGGGAGCATAACTTCTTCTGGGCTTACCACTGCATTATCAACCAGCAAGTCTACAGTCTGCTTGTAAAAATACAAGTATCTGGAATGAAACAGGAAAAGAGACATCTCTCACAATATCTTCTGGATGGTATCTAACAGGCAGAGAGTAATAAACTGACTACACTTTGGGCATCACTGAATTGAAATGGATGGGAATTGGGCACATTGTCAGAAGATCATACTGTTTGCTGCTCAGAACATGAAGAATGATGAAGGGATGCCATTGTTTTTAGTGTCATGAAGAGTGTACAAAGACAGTACTTTGGTACAATGCAGTTAAATAGATTTCATGAACAACTCTTTGATATGAGGGTTATTCTATTTTTGGCCCAATCACTGAGGCAGAAGAAGTTGACAAACGTTATGGTCACATTTTATCAGAAACTGACAGAACATGCATACATGATATGCGGCTTATGATTGAAAAGTGGAATTCTAAAGCTGGAAAAAATAAGGAGGACATTTAGTTGGACTATATGGCCTAGAGAACATCACTAGATCAAATATTTGCTACATTATTGGGATAAGTAGATGGAAAAGTTCAGTTACAAAAGCAAAGGTGTGGTGAGGGGCTTTTTGCTCGTGTGCAGGTTCCAAGATAAGGCTAAAACAGAAGAAAACCAACCAGTTTCCACAATACGATATGGAATACTGTATACCCACCATTTTCAAGGAGAACTTTGAAATCCTTATTGATGGGAGCCAGAGGAACTGTGGAATGAAATCAAATAAGTTGTTAATAAAAAGTGTGAAAACACACTGTCTATTATCAAGAAGAAACCGAACTGGATGTTTGAAACACACAGTAGAAATTTTTGAAAAGAGAAGGCAAAAACCAAGAAAGACAAAACTTTCTGGAAGGCTCTAATCAAATATTGCCATGGCCTAGAGAAGAAATAGTATTATAATATCTATAAAGACATCAAAGATGGAAAAAGACATGGAAAACCAAAGAAAGTCTTCCAAAAGATTTATTAAACTAGAAAGAGGGTCTAATGTCTAATTGATTTAATAAAGATCTCAACAAACAGATTCAACAAACAAGATGTCAACAAACAGAAATTAAACATATAAGGAAGGAGTATGTTGAAATTCTGTACAATACAGATGTCAACATCCAAGACATCTTAGAAGATATTCCCTGCTTACATAATCTTCTAACACTAGAATACCAAGTTAAATCAATACTCTTATTACTAAATTGGAAAGCTATAAGAATTGATGGAATATCTTCAAAAACATGGTAAGCAATGGAGAAGGTTCTAACTGAACTATGCTAAAAATGCGGAGAACACAATGGCCAACTGGTAGGAAGATGTCAGGCTACATATTAGTACCAAAGAAAAGATCCTTCAGAGATTGTACAACTGCCACACAATAAGTAACCATAATTTGACATGCTAGCAAAATAATGCTTAGGATCATCCAATACAAATTAGAGTTTATATTCAGTTGTTCAAATTGATTAGAGGAAGATATTATTGCAGATGTATTTTAAGAAATAAGAACAATAAAGGAACACCCCCAAAATGTCAATGTACCTTGACTATAGAAGACTTTTGATTGTGTCAACCATATCAACTTGTTTATTGTCTTTAGAAAAATGGGATTAACAGAACATTTCACTATCCTCATGCAAAATTTATGCACAGATCAGGATGCCACAGAATATGATGAAACAGACCGGCTCTAGTTGGCAAAATAATAAGATAAGGCTATATATTATCTTGTTATCTGAAAATATAATGAGAGAAGTGGCATTAGAAGATGTGTGCAGTTTTAAAATTGAAGAAATAACCTGCACTATTATTGAAGAGACTAATCTGATATTTATTAAATTTATATTCTGCCTATTTCATTATCACAGCGACTCTGGACAGCTTCCATAATGGCAAAAAGATAATACAAAATGAATATGTCTACATGTTGATTAATAATAATTTATCTTCAATGTCTCAACCCAAATACTAGGGGTCACAAATACTAGAGGTCTGACGAGGTAGATCGCTACTTCAACTGCATTTCTAAAATTATTGCAAGGGCACAGAGCTTAATAGCTTAACTACAGAAAATAAAGTGTAAGAGAACAAAACTGATGAGAATGATCAAAAAATTTGGAAAATTTATTTTCTATCTGGAGTGCCTGACAAGGCAATATCTGCAGAAAATTGTTACCCAATAATCACATCCTTAATTAAACCACTTAATATTCTATCTTAACATCATCTGTTGCTAATGTTCCACAGCAAAGGAATAAAAGGAGAAGAAAATGGTAGTGTCTGCTTTTATCATAATCGACATTCAAGAGGTTGCTTTCTAAAACATTTCATGGAAGAGGAAAATCAAGATAACTTGTGCTGTAAATTGAGTTCCTGTTTTAAACACAAAGTTTGAGCTGCCATTTCTTATATTTGCTATTCATGGAAACAACCAGCTTGCCACATAAAATCAAACTCAAAATGCTAAACACACATACCTTACAACCATGATTTATACAGAATATAATGTAATTATGATGAAATTTCACAAAATGAATATATCCAAAGTAAAATCCAGAATTGCCAGCATTTATTTTTCATAAAATTCTAAAGTATTTCAAACTGACAGCTGAAAATGTAAATGATCTGCAACATTTAGTAATGATGATAAAAGAGCACAGTACAACAATGGGGATAATAATAATTTATTACATTTATATGCCACGAGACTCCCAGCAGCTTTGGAGCGGGTATTCAAATAAAACATTAAAAACAAGAGAAAGACAAGAGACACACATGAACAGTAAAAATGGTAAATGTGACAAGAACCAGACAGGAACAGAAAGGAAACAAACCCACATAATGCAACGGAGCTTAATTCATCCTTGCTAAAGGCCTAGATGAAGAGCTGGGCCTTCAAGGCCCTTTGAAACAACATCAAGGTGTGGTCTGTTTGGATCTTGAGAGGAATTGTATCCCAGAAGGTGGGCAGTGCTATGGAGGAGCCATGCTTCTGGATCCCAACAGATGCTCTTGTTTAATCAAGCACGCTAAACAGAGAAAGCCAACCAAGCCAGATCAAATCAACTGGCCAGATACTATGGGTAGCAGGCACTCCCTCAAGTTATCAGACCTTATGCTAGGCAGGGTTTTTATAAATAGTGATCAGCACAAAGAATCACAGCCAGAAGTAAACTGACAAGCAATGCAGCACCCAAAGCTTAAGTGTTGCATGGGATAACAAGGTATGACTATCACTGCCTGCACCACTGCATTCTGGACCAACTGAAACTTTTGGGTGGTCTTTAAGGGCATCCCTACATAGGATATATTGGGGTTAAATTGTGAGATTGGATGATTGAATGAAGAGGCCCTGATGTAGGAAAAGGCTAACAGGAGCTATGAGTTAAGGAATATCCCCAAATTGCTTACCATTTGTCAGTTCTCTCAGGAAAACCAGACAAGAAACACAACCTCATCAACTAATTCTACTTTATTGTAAGGCTACACTAACAGAATCTTGCATATCTAAAAATACAACTCTCCCACAATCTTTTTGCAGCCTGATTACTTAGGGTGGGTCCTTCTTGTTTCTTTCTCTAATTTACTAAGGGGTTTTTACTCTCGTGTCTGAGTGTTCCCTAGGAGGCATCTCTTTTCCCTGCCTGTCACATACAATCACATCTAATCCAGCCAAGGTCACAGATAGAATATTCAAGATCTGGGCTGCTCAAAGACACCCTCCCCCTCAAGCCACATTCAGCCATTGTAGAGCTGACTTGGAGATGGTTCTTCCCCATCCAAACACAGACAGCCTCCAGGCACTGGAGGTAACCTTGAAACTCTCACTTAGTCAGCCACAAAGCAAAAGATAATAGACTAAGATTAAATACAAAAAAATGACTAAGCTAATGACAACAGGCACAGCTACCAACATTAGAACTGACAATAAAGTTGAAGTGGTGGAATGCTTCTGTTTTTTGGGATTTACTGCCAACAGTCAAACAACTACAAATATATTAGGTGGCACCTGACAATGAAAATCTGAAAAGATATTCAGAGGCCTGATAACCATCTTCTTCTTCCCCAATATCTACATTTACTGTGACCTATAAAGATTAGAATTGTAATGACAATAGGTTTTTTTGTGATACTCTATAGATGCCAAATTTGTACTGACACAGACTAAAAAGTATTGGTGCTTTTTATATTGGAGAAAACTCAATAATACTATGGATAGCTGGGAAAACAAATAAATGCATCATAGTACAAACAAATCCACAGTTCTAACTTGAAGAATAAATGGAAAGGAAAAAGAAAAGGATGACCAACATCAAGACTGTTTGGTCTTATTTCTTTTTTTTTTTTAGGATAGCAGATAGATGTCTTTTACAAAAATCATCTGAAAATTGAAGACAAGATCCTTGAGTTAATGGACTTTATCAAATGAGGAAGGAATTCCTTCTATATGAACTTTTTGTCATGATTCTTACTTTGCTTTCTGTTATATTATTAAACTAATTATGATTTGTAGGATGGCATTGGGTTTATTTGATTAAGTATAACCTAAAAGAACAGGAATTAATTTCTTACATTAATTAGGAGACTGGGGAATTAGAAATTAAATACAAGCAAATTCACAGTAAAATCTTGAAGAATATGAACAATTTGATTATAAAAACAAGTGATCAGAATTGCTTTGAAAGTATCACTGTAAGAGGGAAGGAATGAGACAAGAAATCACAAAATAATTTTATAGGTCATGTATTAAAAAACAAACCGTTGTACTGATTTTTGTTGTCTCTGAAAAAATAGATACCAGTAGGTTAATGAAGAAATGCCTCAAGTTGTGTAACTGAAATATGTTTGCACCACCTGCTGGTCATATTCCAGTTATTCTTACAATGTTGCCCCTACTTCTTCTCAGTAAAAAGTAGCTTGCTGTAAAACATATTATGCCATGTCCACAGGGTCGTACTACGTGATAGGAACATTTAAGAAGAGCAGAAACAGAACATGTATTTTTCAGAATTAGGTCAGGTTAAGTAGTGACTTGCAATTTGTATCAATAAGCACTTTTTCCAGCTTATTTGGAGTTATTGTTACATCTTTCTTTTCTTTCATTTCTGCACCTTTATTTCTGCTTTTTTTCTTCCCTCATTTTTTTTCTTTTTCCCTTCAATATTGGTTCTTGTTTGTTTTTATTCTGAATTAAAACTTTTATATATATAAAAATAAAGCAACTTTGTTGACTATGATTATTGAATAATGTGACACAAATGAACCTTTTCACTAAGCTATACTATAGCTACAGACAAAATATACTATACTGCACTGATAGATGCAATTGTGCTGTCGGTGCACTCTTTCTCTGCTACACAAGAAACAAAATATAAGGTAATCTCTTATAGGATAATATTATTCCATCATTTAAAGGCTGTGATGTGAAATATAACACCCACTTACTTTCCTCTATCTTGCAGGTACTAAAAACTATCAAATGTCCTCATTCATTCAGATGCATACTAACTCAAGCAATATAACCCTATATAACTTTATTTGTTGAATCAGTTCAAAAGGAGAAATATCATATTTCTTCATGTACCGTTCAAACTCCATGAGATCAGGAGACGAGGTAGTGGAAGACTGTGTTAGCCTTTGATTTACATCTTCTTCTACAATTGGTTTCTCATGTTCTTGGATCACGTACCAGACTGTGGTGCCATTTGGACTCAAAACATCTGAAGAATGTATGATGCTAGAAAATAAATGGAGGGATTACCTACATCCATATATTTTTTTTGTCAGGAACATGAATTGAGAAGTCAACAAATTTTGTTTGCCGTTAATTATTCTTCTAGAAATACACTAGGCTACAGAAGCCTCATGGAGAAGCAATATAAACAAAGAGAATAAAGTGAAACAAGCATAAAAAGGTGGGATTGAAATTCATAGTGTTAAAAATCCCACTTTCAAAATCTCTATTTCACACTAATTTTCCTTCTTGTTGTTTCTGCAACCCAGTAAAGACTGCAAGTCCATGCAAATTTCATAGGATAGGAATGTAATCATTTTCTGAAGCCCACAGGCTTATTTGAGATATTTAAAAGGGGTGCTTTCAGAAAGTTTAAATTTTGTAACCTATGATTGTTGAAATACATCTTGACGTATTCCTCCTTTACATCTTCCAAACTGGATGGATTGCCGTCTTCCAGATTTAAAACTTCTGTTGGCAACAGAAAGAACATCTGTTACTAATAGGCATATTTTGAAATTTGAATATAATCAAATGCATTTGAAAAAAGTATTGTAGGAAAATGTTTTTAAAAAAGGTATTCTCTTTATTATTGGTTATTTGAACTGTTATCACTACTAGTATTATTAATATAGTGTTGCTGCCCAAACAATAGACAATACCTGAAGTATCTGTCAATAAAATAATCCAAACTTATAATTTCAACCGATATAACAAAATGAAAACAGATAATATAATGGCAATAAACATTATATAAGCAACAAGAGAGAAAGTTCTATTGATAATGATAGTTCACCTAGCTCTATTTTGGAAGGGGCTATAGCTCATTGATGAAGCACAAATGTTATCTGAAGAAGTTTCAGTTCCTTATATTTTCAGCTAACACCACCTGGTAATAGATGATGCAAAAGCCAATCACAGTGTGTGATGCTTGAATAGATAAACAAATCATTCATAAATAGCAGCTTGGAGAACTGGAAAATTAGGCTGGAAAATGATGACATGAGCAATGAATTGAATGTCATAATGAAAAAAGGAAGTGAATAGAGTTCTCTTTGATCTAAATTATAAATTATGTTTATAATTATATATATATAAACAACAAAATGCACAAAAAAAATGTAAGACTTAAAACAGAGCAGAAAAATTGGACTTAATCTATAAATCAACTTTTATATCATCATTCCTTTCTTGGTAAGCACAGTGCCAAAGACAAATTTTGCCACCTTATAATATTGTCTGGATTTGAATCATATAAAAGAAGAGAAACATGGGTCTGATCTAAACAATGGGGAACATTTTAACAAATATAGGATAACAGCTAAAGATAACAAATATAGGATACAGTTTTAAATTTTTTATAGTATTTTAATTGTAAAATATTTTTTAATTGTAAACTGCTCAGAGGCATTGATTGAGTGAATGAATGAATGACATTGCCTTTCAGAATTGTCCATTCCTCTGAACAGATATTTTGATGCTTCCTTTTTCTGGCTTGGATAAATATACATTTATATTAAGTTCAGCACCTATTTAATTTTAAGTTGACCCAAAAAGGACTAAACAGGATTCTTCAGATTAGTTTTTGGGTAGGAGACCACCCAAAAAAAATCTCAAAGCCATAGATTAATTAATTTATTTTATATGGCCCTGTCAGAAGAAAGAGCTCTGGCCATGCAGAAAAAAGTATAAAAAGTATGTCAGTCATATAGTACACACATGAGATTCAATCAGCAATGGAGCAGTCTCAAGACCCTATCTGTCTGAGACCTCCAAGCCTGATAACAAAGCCAGGACTTGAGGGAATTAGATCAGGAATTCAAAGTATTTCTGGAAGAAAGCAGTGCCAAATCACTTTCATATTGCTGCCAAGAAAAACTCAGTAGGTATGTCTGTAAAATTCCCCACAGTGAGATCAAGTCAAAGACTTATCTTATGAATGCTCACTGAATATCAAACATAGAAGGAAATTTATGTGAAAACTTTTAGAGATTAAGCACACCCTCCCCACCTTCTGGTAATTCTGTTGTTGGGATTTCCTTCATAAGGATCTCTTGTGCTAGTAAATATGAGATGGAAAAGATTCATCTTCTTATGTTCCAGCCTTATACTGATGTTCCAGCCTAAACTTTGCCACTAATCTATTTTTTTTAAAGAAGAAACAAGGACACAGCAGAGGAAAAAGATTTAGTGAGAACTTCCATATAGTACCTTTCATCTTCAACAGATTTTCCAAAGTTTTCTCCAATTCCTGGATATAATTCTTAGCTTGGCATAGGACCTGAGACTAAACAAACAAACAAACAACAAAAAAAGAGCCACTTGTATGCATTCAGAATAGGCTAATATTCATGTGTTCATTTAATTGGTTAGCTAATTAATTAACTGGATTTTGAGGCCAACTTTCAAATAGTTCTGAATGGTTTCCATCCTAAAGGTATGAAACAACAAAATTAATGCCAGATTTTGAAAGAATTGTAGAATAACTGTACAGATGTCTGGGAGCAAGGTGTCCCAGTGGACAGGCATCATGTCAGAGAAGGTGTGCTTCCTAAGCACCAACAGGCGACAACACTTAATTTAAAGGACTTGGAGCATGTCCACTCTACCAAATCCTACTGGGCATGCAAATAGCTATCAGAGAGAGATAGCTTTCTGTAGCTTTTTTCAGTGTCTCAAATAACCAGGTCCTATACCATGAAGGGATTTATAGGTGATAAACATCAACTTGAATAACACCCAGGCACATATATGTTCCTTGCTTTCCTAGTCGGCCTTTGCTCCTGTCTGATGGGGAACCCTTGGCCTATGGAAACTGCTAAAATATAGCTCCCAATAGCCCTTCACATTGGCTACAGTCACTTGGGAACTGTACTTTAGCAAGATCTGGAAGACTACTCTGAAAGAATTTAATATATCAAGTTATGAGGAGAAAGAAACAAAAGTTAAAAGAGGAAAACCAGTGCTGCTATACAGGTTTACATATTATATTGACTGATTGTTGAGGCCTGGATTCATATTTTCCATATAATATCAAATAACGTGATAATATCATGGCATTAAAGCATCTCCCATGTGAAAATCATGAAACATGCAATCAAAATCCATGTGGGGAAAGAGTAACATTTCTTATGGCAATTAATGTGCAGGTAGTCCTCAAATTACGACACAATTGAGTCCAAAATTTCTGTTGTGCTAAGTGAGGTTTGCCCTATTTTATGGACTTTCTTGCCACAGTTAAGTGAATCATTGCAGCTGTTAAGTTAGTGACAGTTGTTAATTGAATCTGGCTTCCTCATTGACTTTGCTTGTCAGAAGGTTGCAAAAGGTTACATGCAACCGTCATAAATACATGCCAGTTTTCAAATTTTGACATTCTGATCATGGAATGGTGCAATGGCTGTAAGTTGAAAAAATGGCCATAATTCACTTTTTTCAATGCCATTGTAGTTTAGAACATTAAAAAATGGTTGCAGGTTAAGCATTACTTATATTCTAATCTACCTACACTAAGTATAATAAATCAATCAATCAGGAAGGCAATTACCACTTGAGAAGCAAGAGGCTTGAAAACAGCTTGGGAGGACAGACCGCAGGTAGTCCTCAACTTATGACCACAATTGAGCCCAAAATTTCTGTTAAGTGAGACATTTGTTAAGTGAGTTTTGCCCCATTTTACGACCTTTCTTGACACCGTTATTAAGTGTCGCTGTGAATCCCTGCCAGTGGTGGGTTCCGGCTCCCGTTGCAACCGGTATGCTGCAATGGGGCCAGGCATCCACCATGTGAATGTGCGCAGCATGCGCATGCGAACCCACTGCCTGCGACGCTCCAGCTGTCGGAGAAGTCGTGCAGGCGCCCTACGCCCCATGTGCATGCGCAAATGCCCCAGTTGGCTCAAATAGAGGTAAGGAGAGCGGGTGGGTGGGTGGGCAGGGCCTCTGGAGCACTGTACCAGAACGGTACCTGGTGCTCCCAGCAGGCACCGGTACACCCAAGCCAGGGAGTACCGGTCGTATCCCACCACGGATCCCTGCACTTGATAAGTTAGTAACATGGTTGTTAAGTGAATTTGGCTTCCCCATTGATTTTACTTTTCAGAAAGTGGCAAAAGAAGATCTAATGACATTGGGACACAACAACGGTCATAAGTCTGAACTGGTTGCCAAGCATCTGAATTTTGATCATGTGACTGTGGGGATGCTACAAAGGTCAAAAGTACGAAAAATGCTCAAGTCACTTTTTTTCTGTGCCGCTGTAACTTCAAACAGTCACTAATCGAACTGTTATAAGTCAAGGACTCCCTGTATTTATAGCATACCTGTAAAAAAAGCCTGAGCTGCTTTAATATGTATTTAATTTTTCTAGGAAACCTCATTCTATGGGAAGATACTTTTATCAGAAAAAATAGTCTCTTCATTAAACCTTAATTATTCTTTCAGTAGAGATGTGAGTTCTCTGAAGTAGCTATTTTTCATAGGCTGAAGTTTTTGCTTTGACTTTTCACGTACCTCAATAATCTCAGCAATAGAATAAAATGTATATTTGTGCCTGGGTATATATTTGTTTTCCTAACATTTTTTTATTGTGTTAAGTGCACTGGATAAATCAGTCTTTCGGTCATTTAAAAAAATAATACATGAAATAGTATGTAACAGGCTTATAAATTAAGATAATACCAAAATGTTATCGACCAGAAAGAAACCAATTTATAATCCTTATTTCCATATCACATTCTTATTTCCATATCACATTCTACACCACAGCTTGCTGGTTCTAAGCCAAAAGAAGGACTCTTGGTGTCCACCAAGATTATTTTACTAAGATTATTTTACTAAGTAAAATAAGAAGCTGACATGTTGCAAAGTAAAGCAAAGCAGTCATTTGTAATATTATTTATTTGCAGCAACAGTTTGACACTGAAAAGAGAAATTGTGGGATTCCTTTAGATAAATGGATGTTAGTGGTGGTAAAGCCCAGAGTTGTTTTGAAACGAGATGGGTGGCAAATAAATTTAATTAATAAAAAATAATTTAAAAATAAATGGATTGCTATGTCTGTCATGGCAAGATTTTTGTGAGTTGGCACTCTCTCATGGTATTGACTTATTTATTAAAAAAGCTGCCTGCTCTCATTCAGAAATAAAATTCTAGCACCCAGAGGACAAATCCCTACATTTACAGACAAAATTGGAACAAGCACTAAATCAAACTTCCATGACAGCTTTAATTTCAGAAATAAAATTTAAAAATAGCAATTGTAACAACATGTGAATACAGCAAGAATAATATTTATTACTATTTATTGCTAAGTATTATTCTTACTGTATTTAATTTTTTCCACTTTTAGAAACTCACATACTTATTTCTGTACCTTTGAGACAGAATTTTCTTGCTGTGAAAATACAGTTTCTCGTAAGTTGTTGAACAGGCCTGTCAAAGTAGCTCTATGACGTGCCTGAGATAAGCGTCTTTTGCCCACTTGTGGCTCTATACTTTGCAGACGAGTATGGTATTTAGGAGTCACTCTGGCATATGGGCTGCTGAAGTCTCCAGGTATCTCCATCAAAAGCTGAAAGATAATACCTGAACTAAATATGCATAATGTGAAGCCTATTGTTTCTTATTGTATTAATGTTTTCCCATCACTGAGTGAATTAGATCAAACCTCATTTTAATTGCTTATATTTATGCAATAATGACAAATAAGATGGCCAAAAATAGATGAAAATATGTTCAACATTTTCACTATTATAAAGGTCAAAGTGCTTAACTTTACCTCATGTTAATATTTTGTCATTTTGTTATATCTTGATGCCAAATAATATTGACTCCAATGCTTTAAAGAATTATTATTCATAGTGCTATTAGTTAAACTAGTATTTATTAAATTTTCATTATTTTTATGAAGAAACATTCACCATATAAATTTCCATCCACAGCATGAGACAGTAAAGAAACATCTGCTGCTGTCTTTGAATGAAATTCTATTTAAATTCAGTATTTCTGTTAGGGGGCTCAAGATGACACAACAGAATTTATACACACAACAATTTCATTATAAAAATTGGGCAAATAGACATTACTTTGATAATATAACTCAGTAAATGGATATGAATACAGGCAACCCTAGGCTTCATTCTAATCATGATAATCCTGCTGTCAGGCTATACTGTTGACCCAGAGGTAACAAGAAATATGTTTGTGTGAAAACAAACGGTCCCAGCCTGGAGCCCAAACTTAATAGTCCTACATGAAATGTCTGTTCAACACATTTGACTGCAATTCTGTTTATCTGAGGTGGAAATCTGATGCAACTGAGAGACAGAGAGACATACTCAAGACTTAGTTAATTTGCTTACAACTACAATAAATTATGGTTTGCTATCAATTTAAATGGACGAATGTTGGTCATGCCTTATTACAATACAAAACCAGTGAGCTCTTAGAAGAAAACCAGCTAGAACTGGTCAATGTTTTTCCTTATTTCTCAAATTTATATTTATTTGACCCACAATTCTTTTATGTAAATATGGCCTATCTAGCCAACTGCTATGAATAGGGCTTGTCCATATGAAAACGTCCGAAGTGCCTTATTATATACAGTAATAAAAGTATATCATTTTAATACAATAAAAGTGGGAACACTATATGTCTCCTAGTTCTGCCAATTTGAAATGCATGTAATACTTTTATTATTTATGAAAATAAAGATATTGAGACTTGAAAAATACATAATTCTATTGCAGAATTGTGTCTTTATACTTTAAGGCTTCTCTCTGTATCTCTGTATATAAATTCTTTAACATAAATTATTTACTGCAGCGAGGAAGACTACAAAATTCCTCCTCCTTACATATTCAATGAATACATCTACAATATTAGTTCAAATGAATGATTTAAACATGATAAATTAATGGAGAATAAGGCTATTTATTCAGACTCCAAAAACTGTGGAATATGCTTGTAGCTCAATGTGCTTAGCACAGGATGTGATAAGGCTATTTATGGCTACTAGTTAAATAGCAGTGTTCCGTTCTTGCTAAGGGGCTTCCAATTGTTATTTTATTGGTATTTGGCAACAGAAAACACCTTGCAGCTTCAGTTGGGTCCATTCCCCCCCCCCTTCTTTTTTTGCTCTGATGTCTTATTGAAAGAGAAATATTCCTTGCTTCTGACTATATATTTGTTTAGGATATTTTAAAAAGTGGGGGGTTAATAGCTCTTATATAGGTCAGCCATACACTTTGCATGCAAAAAAGCTAAGATTTCTTTGCTTGAATCCCAGAGAGTTACTGCTACTGCAGAGATAAGTTGGAAGGACCAATGAACTGATATGGCAACATTCTATGAATATCTCTGGTATTTGAAATAGCAGCGTTTATCATTTTCTCAGCTTGTTTTCCCCTGGCTTTTCAAACTACAAGTATCATTGTCCCTCCTGACTTCAAAAGATAAAAGGGGTTGAAACTTACTACTTTTTCTATTAACTAACTATACAACCAATCAGCACCTCTATGTGTCTACCAGCGTCTGCGTCCAGCTATTCTCAGGGTTTGTCCCGTCCCCTTCTGTAGAACTCCCTTTCTTTTCACCATCTTTTTCTACCGTGCCTGACTAACCTTCCTTAGGAGTGCAATTCTTTCCCCACGTTATGCTCCCAGTTCCTCACTCCACGGTCTCCCGTCTTTACAGACTCAACCCTGGAATAGGAGAGACGAAAGCTACACTTTTCAGGGTTACGTGACTCACTCACTCGTTACTCCCAAGTCCTACCGCTCATTCCACCTTGCATACATTCCACTCGCCCACCTACCATCCTGCACACGCTCTCACCATAGCATTAACTTAGCGGCGCATAACATGACCAATCACATCGCAGGAGAATTCGCCAACTGCCAATAGGAAGACGCGAATGTTAAGCAAGCGATTCTGACCGAAGTGATGCCGGAAATGGTAACAAAAACGCGGGAAAGATAAGGCGAAGCGAATAGTTAAGAGAAAGTGGAGATTTCAACTATTTCTGGAAAAGAAATAGTTCTGATTTGTATATTGTTTATTATATGTTAAGTATATATAATGGGGTTGTTTTCACACCGTACTTTTAAGCTCCTGGAGAGTTCTACGTACTTGCTTCTAGCTGTTTGCAGTGTGTACTGTACAGTGTCATCAAATAAGGGTGTTGTGCTCTCAGTATTTAATTTAATCCGAATCTACTTGCTTGTAGTACTAAAGCAACTGATAATTTATTTCATATAAATATCAGATGCCTAAAAACAGACCGAGTTCTCAGATTGAAGCAGGCATTTACTTTTACTCTGCCCCATTTCTTTAACAAATTTGCTTAGGACAAATTACTAATTGTCTAGATAAATACACCATACTTATATCTTCCCCAATTGATGATAGTTCATTTGTTTACGGAGGTACTGAAAATTTTGAGCTTAGCATACAGATTCTAAGAACACCTATAATAATGCACTTATTTCAGAGTTCTTTTTTTAAGAGGATAATTTCAATTTAAGGGGTAGGGTAAGTTTTGCTCTAGCCAGGTATCATTGCTGACTTGAAAAATATCCTGGTGCCAGTAACAAAGTAATGATTTGTTATAGATATTGCAGATTGAAACTGCATAATTAACTTAAAAATGTTGACCTAAGTACATCAGTATGACTACCTTTCTTGAAATTGTACTGATGGTTCATTTTCCATTTCTGTAAGTCCACTTTAACTGGATGGAGACTACAGTAGCTTTTTGTAACCGTGATCCAATAAAGCCTGAAGTCTACTGTTAAAAACTTGATTTAGATGTTAATGTATTCACATAGCACTACCAGAACCTTTTTAAGATTGAGAAGCCCAGAAATTGAAAGCTGAAAGTACCATGCCCAATTTTTTGTTGCATCCTATTCCTTTTTTCTCCACTGGTTTGTGTCAATTGCACCAATAGCCCGGTAATTGAGAGGGCAAACAATTGAAGTATTCCTTATTATATTTTATAGTTTAGTTTTGTTGTTTTGAATGAAAAATATTAGTCCATTGTCAACACTGAGATGCATAGAATAACTCCCAACCATTCCTCCTGGACAATTGCTTTAAAAAGGCCTTGCATGTGCATGTTAACAAAATATATAACAGGATTAACAGCATTAATATACAGGATAAGTAATAAAGTTGGTGGGTCCATCCACATGAAGGATTTTTTATTTGCATACGCTTCATAACTTAAGTAAACTAATTAAGCGACATCTAGGTTCTTTAAAACCTGAAATAGGGGGAATTGTGCCAAAATCATGAATTTTCTTTACTAAACAGCGCTGCCAATTCTCAGTCAAAGGATTTATTTATTTAGCGCATCATACATGGAATAATATGTATGTAATAGCAAGATAAATTAATATTTCAACCAGAAATCAGTCAAAGGAACGAACGTCTTTTGAGGATATCAATGCTTTAAGGCTCAGACCCAGTTTTCTAAGCAAAACAAAAACCACAAGTTGTAAACAAATGTCAATATTCATTTGTAATAAAAAAAAGTTGGGTTGCGAAGGAAAAGAACACCCAGGGGCGGAGCGAGGAGGAGGATTGGGGCAGCGAGCGAGCGTGGGGCGGCGCATAGAACTCGGGGCGTCTCTTCGTCTTGTCGGCGAGCCGGGGGCGCGATGGCGGCTGCGGTTGAGCGCGTTGACGAATTGGTGCGGGAATACTTGCTGTTCCGTGGCTTCACTGCCACGCTGAAACAACTAGATGCGGAGATCAAGGCAGACAAGGAGAAAGGCTTCCGGGTGAGGATTGCAGGGAGGAAAGGCCTGGGCTGGTTTGAGGAGGCTTAGGTGATGGGGAGGGCATTTAGTCCTTCCCCGGTCTTCCTTTTCATGCTTGACTGGCCGCCGCCAGAAACAGGAACAGGGAGAGCATTGTTGTGCCCGGGAATTCTGAGCGTCTTTGCCGGAACGGTGGTATCTGGCTGGACGGGCCTGCCTTTCAGCAGGGGCTGGTTTGAAATGGTTTTGGGATTTACTTCCAATTCGTTAGTTAGAAGGCATCCAGTTTCAGTCCCTTGCAGCTTTTCTTTAGAACCAGTCTTCCCAGAGAAGGGGAGACGATGAGCATGTGTAGAGTGCATCTCTTTCAAAACTGAGTGACTGCTATAGTCCATAGGCATCATGGATTATCGCTCCCGCATCTAGTTTAGGTTTAGATGTTGTCATTCTGTTTATATATAACATTTTTCTATTATTGAATCTGCCCAGTAGATTATCAATCAAAATAAAATAATTGGCACTAGGATTTCTTATTTAAAAAGAGCATGTCCAGACATATCTCATATAAAAAAGTTTAACAGCTATTAAATTGATTTAATATTTCATTGGACCGATGTAATTTCTGAAATAAATGCTTTTAAAGCCAGAGTGCAGTCATAATAGATCTTTTAAATTCATTTTGTTTAAAAACTCTGTAGCTACCTACCATGTGGCCCACAACTCTGCTTGGTTAACAATGACTAGAAATACAAACAGTAAAGCCAATATAAAAAGAAAAGAATGAAATAGTAAAATAGAATTAAGAAAAACCACATACCCAACTCATAACTGTATCCTTATTGTCCCAACCAGCTCTTCCCCAATATGCAGAACACTTGTATCAAATTGTAATTTTTAAAATATGATGGAAGGGGAAATTATGAAACAAAAACATAAAGAATGGCAAAAGTAAATGAAATAAAATATTTTTCTCTTGATCCTACTAACTAATATTTGGATTGCACCATCTTAACCCAACTT